TACCCGAATACTTTTTTGTGGACGAAGATTGTAAGCATACTCAATACATAGAAAACATCTGAAGTTCTTATATCATAAGCATATTTGAATCTGAGCCTTATTGTTGTCCTAGATTCACAGCTTTATCTTCTGGTCGCTATTGCCACATCAAAAGGAATGTGTTCTCTGCGATATGTACTGTACTTTTTTGTAATAAAAAATCAATGAATGTGAGTAATGAAGAAGAGGCCTGGTAGTAAAGAGTTTGTGGGTAGATTATTAGACTCAATTCCAGGTTTGAATCGTTTTCTATATCTCTCAGCGTGACTTTGATTATCCACCAGAGTAGATATGGGTTGCACTCATTTTCTTTATCTTCCATCTAGTTGACACGTGTTCTTTACTTTAAATTTAGCATAATGTTTTTTCCTCATTCATCTGGCCTGAGCAGAATTCCAGATTCCATGGCCTGTCTAAATACACTCATCAGTCAGCCAATTCTATTTCTGCTTTTGTAACTGCCTTCCAGTTTACGTATATTTCCTATATTTTTATTCAATTACATTCTTTCGGTAGGTTGTCTGACTCATTTGCCAGCGAGGAGCTCTATGACGCATTGCGCAAAGACCTTACCTATTCGTCAGGACTGATGGTCGAGTTATCCCATGAACGTATCCGCATGTTATCAGGCTCTGAAGAGGGTATGGATGCTTGGATTTCAGTCAATTATCTGTTGGGCAAACTCGGGGTAAGAAACGCATTTATTCCTCTCTGCTGCTCCTTTTTCTTATGTATCAAGGCAATCTTACATATAATACAAATTTAAAAAATGAATACTGAAGTGAATGCATGAAAAGCCGCCTATACCGACATCAGAATCGGCCGAAACAAATTTATCAGAGTCATTTCGATGATATCGTTAAAGTTAACTTTTTATTCTCTGGTAAATATAGATTGCAGGAGGACTATATCTATTTGCCTTCTCTGATTGGTATTTACGAAATGCGATGCGTCACAGCTCCTACATTTTCAAAATGTATCGCGTTATAACAACTCGGGTTTAGAGGATTACGTCGCAGATCCGATATCGGGGAACTCCCTGTTTATGCCAAGCATAGTACATACTGGTTAATTGGGAAAATCTAATAGAAGGCCTATTATGGAAGCTATAGAGGTATAGACTTTGTTGACCGCTCTAAAAGAATAAGTCAGGTTCACAAAATTCAGGGAATTGTGAGTGCCTTCATAGTCTTCAAAGGAAACGGGATTTAATAGACTTATCAGGAATGTTTGTAGGAATCATAGACAATCGAGTACAGTCTTTGGATACTCTTAAACGTATGGATTAAATCAAGAGGTTAAGACCAATCTGGAATAATGAGAACAGATTCAGTTGAGTAGGTTTTTGGCGTTTAGAAGACATAAAGAGACACAATTGGATGGATATCTGACTCATTTCCTTTAGAGATGGCCAGAGTATATTACTACTAGACCTCTTTTGGTCAGCTAGTTTGGAAGAATGGGGAAAAATAATATTTTTGCTGTTTACTTTCGCGAAAGTGAAATTGCTTATTTGATAGAAAGGACTGGTTAAGAGATTTATTAGCCTGCCTCATCTGGAGCTGATAGTCCTTTGTCTTCTATGCAGTTAGCTCAAGCGATTTGTTGCTGATATGAGTGCTTTCCTCGTTTTTACTCTTCACTGAACTTTAGTATTGCGCTGTCATTTGACACAAATGTTGTGCACAAATTCGCAAGCTATGTGGTTAAGCAGACTTACTGCCTAACCACATCCTTCAACAGATTTTGACCATAACTTGATCTCAATTGGATATACCCTGTTAGGTTGAACTAATTGCAACTTTTCAATACAGAATTCAGCCTGTGAACAACATGTGCATGAATACAATAAAAAATCCTTAAGTAAAATCTCGTTTTAACTCCAAGTTAAATAAATTTCACATGAAAAAGCACTATTGACTGTTTGTATTTAAACGAGTAATAATTAATCTACAAGAGATTCAGTGAAGCCAA